ATTTAGATAAAGTAGTCAATTACATTAGCCCCCACCATCCCCATCCCAAGGATTAGTCTCAGCGTTTAAAAATCCAAATTCCCCTCACCTCCACCCGTCAACAGTACAATTTTTATATAAATTAAGCCCTGACTTTTTCCTGTTACCTAACTCACCTTTCTTCCATCTTCCTGTGTCACCTAAATTATTATTCAATGTCTCGTCTACTTCCACTGGTAACGTTTTTATTGATGTTATCATGTTGTTTGCAATTTGGAAGTTGTGACTGTACAGCGCTTAATACACACTCGTTATAAGTACGTTTTTTGGTATTTTGTTTTCAAGATATATCAAGTATTTGTTTCAATTACATCCTTACGTTCCACCATATAAGGAAGGACTGTAAATTAATATATGAACGGGAATTACTTGCCTAACTTTAGTAACACTAACAGGAAATGGAAAGGATTAAGCCAATCCCATACTATTTTATACTTAAAAAACTAAACGTTGTTTCCGTAACCCTAATGGAAGCCATTATTATCTACGAATGAATTTAATGTCCATTTCTGATGTGAACGTTTAAACAGACACTATTATACGCAACAACGAAATACGTATAGTTAATGATAGACATTAGACACTGATTAGAGTTGTCATGAAACTACGTATATGTCAAATTTCAAGCATCCTGTAGTAAGTCCTTCCGAACTAGTAATAACAAATTAATGAATACATATTAATTTTGATTTTCATCTTTCAGTAAATAAGGTATTCTAATTTAAAACGTTGATCCGTGCGTGGTACGTCCATGAAATAATTGACTATTGATTGTTCACTCACCTGTATAAAATAAAGTTGTCCAAATATGGGGTCTTTGGTACGACAGCAGATTCTTCATTGTGAAATTATTAATAACTAGAAAGTCTTTTTTTTTTCGTCAACTACAGAATAAATTCCACTTAAAAATCCTAGCACTAGTATTATAATCTTAGGTTTAGCATGATAAATCACAACAGTATTTAGAAATGTAACAATCAATGACGTTTCACAGAAATCTCGATCTCATGTGCGTCTCTCTTTGGAGCACTACACGCTCTGGTGTTGCAATGGACGTTACACTAGCTCTAGATGAGCGTGAACGATGAACAAAATAGGTATTTATGCACCTATATAAAATAGTTCCACAACTTTTGTGTACTTATTAGTCGTTCTGACAAAAGCTAATATTAAAACCTTGTATGTGACATGCTGATAATAGGACACAAATATGTTACTGTGTTTCTACTTAATGATTAATATACATTTCGCTCATAGATTAAACATTATGTTTGATCTAATGACGCAGGAACACTGCACGCAGCACGCGCACGATTTAAAGAGCCGCCGAGTCCTCAATATTTGAAAATCACCTGCGGAAACCCCCAGTTTAAAATAGAGAGTGACAACAACTTTTACTTTAACTGTTCGGTTTGAATACAGTTCTTCAAATACATATTTTAGACTTGTCTGTGAGTGTATTACCTGATTAAAAACAGTTTCAAAGTGTTCTGATAACCAGGGACAAATACAGTAATTTTGGGACTCCAAACCCAATGGATCTGGAAACCCCATGTACAAAGCATACTATATGATAAGAATGTTTTTATCGTTTACACTGGTAAAAAATATAGTGAGAAATCGTACAAGACATATACATATATATTTCTTTCTTCTTTGACCACAGTAAACAGCATAACATATTGTTGGGGGGGGGGGGCATTTCTTTTCGTAATTAGCAAGGTTGTAAGCTTGATGCCCTGGTGATAACTGTTCTCTATAGCTATAACTACAGCTTAGTGAGTTAATCCGACTCTGGTGATAACTGGTATGTGTATTCTGTGTAGCTACAGCTACAGCTTAGCGAATTAATTCGGCCTTGTTGGTAACTGTTCTGTGTATCTGTAACTACAGTTTATTGAATAAATTCGGCCCTGGTGATAACTGTTCTGTATGGCTATTGCTACAGTTTAGTGAATTAATTCGGCCCTGGTGATAACTGTTCTGTGTAGCTGTAACAACAGTTTAGTGAATTAATTCGGCCCTGGTGATAACTGTTCTGTGTAACTGTAATTACAGTTTAGAGAATTGATTCGGCCCTGGTAATAACGGTTCTGTGTAATTGGAATTACAGTTTAGTGAATTAATTCGGCCCTGATGATAACTGTTCTGTGTATCTGTAACTATAGTTTAGTGAATTAATTCGGCCCTGGTGATAACTGTTCTGTGTAACTGTAATTACAGTTAAGTGAATTAATTCGG